AATATTTTCTAAGTTGTGAGAGCTTAGGGGAAATATTCCAATACTCTTTTCCAGGGTTTATTCATTTATCAGGCTTAACTGTCCCCATAATCTTTCTTCCGTAAGTATCTAGCCCTTTATTGCCACCTGATATGCTCTTGACAGTAGAAAGTTATGTCTGTTTTCCCCCCATTTTTGTTTTCGAGAGCGACCCAGGCGATAAATAATAATGCGTGTCAAAATCAGATGATTTACGCTGCTCTGATGGCATTTTTCATTTTCATAATTTGTTGCCAAGCGAAGTGCACAAATTTGGGGCTCAGTCTTATCAGAATTTTCCCCCTTTGGCCCTCTTACTCCACCTTGGCACACCCAACAGAAGTGTGTGGGTGTTCCAGCTGAAAAAGAATGGCCATAAAATCAAGTTTTTCTTTGTCTGTTGTGAATATTATGGTCCTCATCCTTAAAACTTATTAAGTTTTTGGTGGAAAAAAACCGAATGACTTTTGATATTATTTAATTCGATTTTTCTCTTCTCCCATTTGCAGGTGAGTGAATGAAAAGTTGCCTCAAAGTGGGATTTGATTATGTGAAAAAGTGAGTTAACTTAAATGAAAAACATTCAGTGGCTCTAGTGGGAATTTATGGATATTAAAGGATTATTTTTTAATTGTCAGCCCAATTAGAATATCATAATTTTATACTACACTGCATCACATTACAGAAATGTTTCTTCCTATTATCTTTGGCAATCACATTTTTTTCTTTCTAATTGTTTTCGTCTCCCCTTTAGCCATTTGTAAGACTGGAATATAAAAAAAACGCATTAAAATGCTATCAAAATCATTTGAAATTATTTTCAACGAAATCATGAATTGGGGAAAACTTTCCCCATTTTAATTTTTATTACCATTTCGAATTCTATTTTCTATTTCCATCCACTTAATGTCATAATAAATAGTTTGAATATTCATTCCAGCATAAATCAGACGAATGTAATTCTGTTCAGCAAACAAGCCCAGGGGTCCTGTGGGTCATCCCATCTATGCATCCCCTTCTAAAAATGCAAATGGAAATGTGCATTTACAGTTAGCTAAGCTTTTTAGAGTGTTTTTCCCCACAAATGTAAAAATGTACTGTGTTATGTGGTATGTCTGTGTTTTAGCCCCGTTGTGCCCCACTAAGTATGCACTTGTGGCAGCGATAGACGGCTGTCCATTATCCACAGAGCAGATCACAAGTAATGCCGAAAATAAATCCACGTCAAAAGCAATTAACACTTTCGGAAATTGACATAAATTTCAGATCAGATCAAATCGAAAGAGAACCGAACCTGATTGCCAGCACAGTTTTGGGAATGTCTGCCGTGATATCTGTTGTTATACCCGGTACTCGAAGAGAAAATAGGGTATATTGTTTTAGTGCGTTGTATGTAACGCACAGAAGGAAACGTTTCCGACCCCATAAAGTATATATATTCTTGATCAGCATTAAAAGCCGAGTCGATAGAGCCATGTCTGTCCGTCCGTCTGTCCGTCCGTCCGATCGTCCGTCTTCTTTGTCGGCTAGTTCTCAGAGACTATAAGAGCTAGAGCCACCACAATGAAGAAAATAATTTCCAGTCGCTAAACCCTCCCCGTCCCGCAGCCTGTATTTGTTTTTTGCACATTCTCCCATTCGCACTCTGATTCGCGCAGACACGTCTCTGCCTCTGCCGCGTCTCTGCCCTGACTCTGCAGTGTGTGGCTCTAGGGGAGGGTGGTGAGCTAAAGGAGCGTGTTGGCGTGAGTAGTGTTGTTGATGCAGATGACAGATGAAGAAAAAATTTACAATTTGACAAATAACCGCTAAGGTGCAGATGTAGTACTGAGTGCCGGGTATAAAAGTTGTGACACGTAAGAATCGTCTCACACGTTCCTTCTCGTTATTATTTTATATTCACAAAGTTTATTCACATAGTTAGGCGAAAAATTCAATTAACAGCCCCTTACCCGCCACCATCCAGCATCAAATGTGGTGGGCAGGCGCCAGTCGGCCGGGGGCCTGCGGCATGCAGCATGCGTGGGATGTCACTACTGCTGCTGCAATATTTTCCAGGTGTCTGCCACACAGAAACAAGTTGCATAATCACAGACCCGGAGCAGGCCGGAGCCCACTTGAACTGATATGCGAAACAAATTAAAAATAAATAATTATGATGTTGCATTTGCAAATCTCCCTCTCTCTTTCCTTGAACTGCAAAGAGTATGACTTTGATTGCATAATTTAAAAGAAAAAAGTGCATCAAATTAGTGGATTGTGGATAGAAAAATTCCAAGATTTACACTTGGAGCTGCCGTTTCTGTGGCAAAGTCTGGTCAAAATAAATACTCGGAAGCAGCGGTAGATAGTGGGTGTTAAAGGGAATTAAGGAGCAGCATTCAACATAAAACATTATACTGCTGGTGTCATGAGTGCTCTAAAGATACTTACTTTGCTTTGCCCTCCTTGGATGTCAAAAGATTTTGAGGAAGAACAAATACGATTATTCAACAGCTGTGTGCCATTGACGATGACTCAAGCAGGGGAAAATCTGATGAGGAGAAAAAACTGCTGGAGAAGAGAAGCCATCCACATGCCAGACGTTTCCTCTACTCTGTGCATACCCCAACAATCAATTTGAATCCCAGACCACGTACATGGAACGTTGTTCCTTCCTTGGCTACTTCCTTTGCGCAGCGCCCCATCAAAGAGGCAGACCAACAGACAGACAGACAGAGGGACGGAGTGAGCGACCGACAGAACGGCCAAGTTGCCAATATTAAACGCATCAATGGATTTTATGGAGCATAAACAGGAAATTTGAAGAAGAATGTCCAATTTGCCATGGCCAAAGGCGAGACAAAGAGCCAGAGAAGGAGATACAGAGAGAACGAAAGAGGAGGATTGGTATTTTCTTTTGTCACTTTCAGGAAACTCAATAGCAAATTGGCATTAGAAGAAGGCACAAAACGTTTCCTACAGCTGGTGTTCAAGGTCCGTTCTCCGTTCTCCTTCTCTCCATCTAACCAGCTCTTTCCTCGACTATCTGTGTACGTATCTAACTATCGCTGGCTATGGTACGACAGTCGGTCTGTCTGTTTGTGTGTGTGTGTGGTCGGTCTCTGTTGAAACCATAAAACATTAATTTCAATTGGAAATTTGTTGCCAAAGCGATGTTGGGAGGAGGTCTGACTGACGGACATATGCGTACACTCTCACATGTAACCGGAGCCAAATTAACTGTAATGCAGGACTACATCATACAAGGGACGCGGAGAGTGATAATAGGTGTGGAGGAGGTGGAGGAAGCAGCCAACATAATATGAAATTAATTTGTTAGGCAACCACCAAAGGCAGCAACAGACATACACAAACAAAAACAAGGAATATATTGTTTGGGAAAAGTTGGCAGGCCACAGCAGCTGTTACTCTGCCCAACTCCCGAGCTCTCTTTCTGTTTGTCGATTGTGAACAGTGGCTGAAAGAACAGCAACAACAAGAACAACAAATGCAATAAGAAACAGCACATGTTAATTAAAGTACAGCTATTCTCTCTCTCTCTTTACTTGGAGAGCAACAAAAGTCACCAACACACACCATGCAACAAAATCGAAATATTTTTCTTTGGGGTTCTAAAATAATTTGTTAATAATAATTATATCTCGTTTAAAATATATCCATAATATGCTAGATACGTATAAATAATAACTTAGAGAGCGCTTAATGAACGCGCCTATTGTGTGTTGGATAGTGTAATTATTGAACAGCGAATGTTTTCAATTTCTGCTTCTTTCTAAATGCATAATGGATGTGTGCCCTGTCCCTTTCTGTCATTGGCTTAATGTGTCAAAATCTGTCAGCAGCACTTAACCCACACATAAGTCAGCGTCGGAGTGTCAGGCGGGCAGACATTAATTTTCAATTTGCTTTTATTTTCAGAGTTCGCTCTCACTCTCTCTGCACTTTGCGCTGTGCGCTGTGCTCTTGAGACACCTAAGGCACAGCTGTTGAACTTCCGACTTGGTCTCCCACCTAATATCTGTTTAATTATAACAAATATTATTAAAGTTAACGTTTCCCGAGTTTCCAACTCGAATCCTTGAATCTGACAGCAGTCACAAATGGCAATAAATTAAACCTGACTGCAGGCACATCCCACAGGACTACGGACAGCTGTTCTCGGGAACATCTGTCAGGGTTCGTTCTCTGATTCGTTCTCATCTGTTGCAAGCGGGGGATGGCATCTGATCTCTTTATGAACACAAGATGAACACAAACGCTAAAGAACTATTCAAAACATGCTCCAGCGATAGTAAAATGCTAATAATAATTGGAAAAAAATCCCCATTTGAGTGGAATTCGAGGGGGAACTTCCTGTAGAGAAGGTAACGCGTACACATCATATGCTTTCGATAAATCATAAATATAAATTCTCCAGCGCTCTTTGACACTGCGTTTTTCCACACGGCTCGAGGGAACGTTCCGTTCCTTTCCATTCCATTCTCAAAAGCGAAACTACAAACGAACTTGGCATGGTGGAAACTGAAGCAAGGGAGAGGCATGGGGCATGGCATGGCATTCGACTGTGAAATTCATAGATCAATTTGAAAGTTTAACAACTGGCCATTAGCACTGTGGAGAACTATTTCTCATTTCCCTTTTGGAGGGCCCATAAAATATGGAAAATTAAATGAAATCCATATTTTTACAGTCTGTGGATTATTGTGTTGTCAAAGCGCAGCGTGGCATAAGCTTTGCTGTGTGTATAAAAAGAAAAGAAACAACACAAATAATCGTATGCGAATCATCCCTTTAAAATGGGGTAAACTGCACACAAATGTAGTCTGAAAAGTGTAGAAAATAAATTCAAATAACTGATCGATTTATGATTTCTTTTTTTCAAAACTTAATTATTCGGTGCTAATGATATTATTACCAGAAAATGAAGTCCTAACTGCGATCGGAGAATAGTAATTCATTTTGGGAATAACACTTCTCCCATGAAGTTGTCAGTGGTTTCGGTGCTCCTTGCATGTGCTGTTATGTCGTTCCTCGATGTTCCTTGATGTCCCCTCAAGACACGACATACAAACATAAAATGCGAAGTCTTTGATAATCTGTATGCTGAGGCGCCTGTCTGTCGCCTGAATGTGCTGGGACGTGGCATTATCGGAGCCAATATCCACATTAAACTTCTCAAACTACCAGTTCGGAAGGTAAAAATAAACTTCAGTGTTTGGAAGAAACTATCCGGCTACCATCCGTTCCTGTTTAACGTCACCGTGGACCTTTGCCACCACATGAAGCACCCGAATCCGTTGACCGTCTTCTACTACTTCTACGCTTCCTTCTTGCCCTACATTAATTTGAATCACACTTGCCCCGTCAATGTGAGTACACATCTCCCATCATACATATGCGATTGACTCTCCTCCTTTTGCACCTTGTAGCACGATATAATTCTGAAGAATTTCGTTTTGAATGAACAAATGTTCTCCAAAGTTCCCATGCCCATAGGAAGCTACATGTTCATGATCAAAATATTAACAGAGGATGTGTGGAGAGGGACAATTTACTCCTACGTGGATATCAATGTAGATGATAGTTCCAGTCTGAAGTTGGGCTAGAACTTTACTTTTCCAACCATGAAACTCTCGGCTCTCTCTTGTTTTTTCCATCACAGCTGGATGCTGCACCCACCCTCGCGCATATTTGGGGGTGGAATATATTGTGTTGGTTCAGTGATTGAGTCTGAGGTTTGAGGGTTGCATTGCACCTTTCCCTTCTAAAAATATAATAAAATCTCATTAAGATCAGTAACAAACTCAATAGAATCCATAAAATCCTCACATTTAGGGGGTTTGAGACCGAAAGGCCAACAAACATATCCATTGGAGGGCCACCCTTGCCAAAGGTCAGGTCCCATTTCGCATTGGATAGACAGTTTAAGCTGGGGAAATAAATACATTTTTGGGAATTATTAGTGACAGTTGAGTGCATTCGGAAAGAAGTAACCGATTAAGCCTTATTTAAATATAATTGGCCTTTAAAATAGGCCATTAAAAAAGGGCCATTGGTGGTCTGGATAGAATATTGTTCACATTGTCTCGATAAAGCTCCTCTCTGTGGCCACTCCACATTGGCCTAGTGACTAGTATCGGAGGCGACTATTAACGATTATTATAATGCGCTTGACCGGTCTGTTTCGATTCAAAAGTTTACATATCATCCGATATCGTGTTAGATAGTTTCAGTCATTAAACAACGGGGTACACAAAAACAATAAACATATCTTCATGAGACTGGGGTAATATAACCTGCCAATTTTGGAGTACTTCTACTCCAACTACTCCGAACAGATCGCAGTTCCGTTCGAAGTTCCTTCGATACATAATGCGCAAAACCATTGAACAAAAGAATTGATTTTAATACCTTATTCCACACACATGCACACATACACAGATAAACAAGCAGAAAGCAAAAAATTGAGAAAATTCGTTGAAAGGGGGTGAAAAGTTTGCTGTTTCCTTTCCCAACTGCAAAGCGATTTTTCTAAAACGTTTTTCCTTTCCACCGCTTGGACAGTGCTATCCTGCAGGAGTGATGCGTAATAACACTAGCCAACAAGTAGTGCGAATTTTGAAGAGCGCAAGTCATCTACAATGTGCAAGACTTTGGGACGATATCTTTGGGAACAGTAAAAAACGAGACTACACAAAACTACTCAACATATGTGGAGATAATGCCCTACCCGGCTGCACAGTGTACATACATTTCTTGTTCTCCCTCTGGCCTGGCTGGTGGCTGGCAGGGTGCTGGGTTAGTGGGTGCTTGGTGGGTACATTTACAATTTCATAATGCAAAATTTTTGCAGAGCAACAAGCAGGGAGCCCGTTGTCGTCGCAGGATGCCAAAGGACAAAGCAAAGGCAACGCTGGCAGCGGAAAAGCGACCAACTTAGCCCCAGCTTAGTGACTTCTCCCAGTCGGTCGGGAGCTGTTAAGGAGTCCCAGCATGTGGCCAAAGTCATTTGCCAGGACAAGTGAAAAATGCCGCTCAGATACCAATGAACTTTGTGGGTGGAGTGTGAGCAGGATGGCGAGGCGGAAGCGACCGTGCGGCCATTTTGTTAGACAACAGTTAGAAGCGGCGACGTTGTCGGCCATTTTGCAAATAAGAAAATGAATATGGACTGCGAGGGGAAGGGGAGGGGTGCAAGGAATTGCCTCTGCCACATCATGTGTCAAATTAAAGGCCAAATGAAATGATGTATGTATGGCGAGGCAGCGCGAAAATTTCCCAGGTGGCCACGCCCCGAAAACCCCATTTGATTGCCGCAATTAAATACGGAACGTGGGGCTTCAGTTGCGGTTGCGGTACCACTCCCAGGATAACGGATGCCCCATTTCGTTGTGCCTTCGTCGTGTTCTGGTCATGCAAACTACTCGTTTGTCTTCGTTAAATTGAATGGTCTTTTGGGTTAGATATATGCACAAATGTATGTGTGTACAATATACTATGGCGAATAAAATTCAATTTGCGCTCAGTTTGTCCAGCAATCAAACTGTTTTATGCCCCGACCTGTTGCCAAGGAACATCAACTTGATGCAGAATTGTGTATGTACCTAGCTGGACATTTATGTACAGTCTAACCTCCAGCTACCTCTAATACAAAAATTCTTGAGCACGCTGGTTTATAAGTAGTTATGCTCCTCCCCGGTTGATTTTGTTTAGGCAGGCTCAACTGTAGAGTATAGCGCGTGCCCCGAGGCAAGTTAACCTAACCGATAGTTGGGGGGCCTGTGCTGCCTGGCGACACTTTGGCCGGACAGTCGTCGTCTGTGGCTTTGTCGATTTAATTAAAACATCACGTAGGAACGCACACAGACACAGGCATACACACGCATAGTCGTCGGCGGCAAACTACAGGGTCTCTCTCTCCATGTAGTCTATGGTAAGCCGCTTAAATTGCCCTTTCCATGATTTCATTTTCCCTTCCCCTCCGATCCGTGTGTCCGTGTAATTATGCTAAAGCCCTGCCTGACTGGTCAACTCTTTTGCCTGCCCCGGCAATCTTATCGCCGCTTATCGTGATCAGAGAGCGCCTCGAAGGCCTGAAAATTGATTTATAATTTTCCTTTTTCATTGGCAGCTGCGCTTTGACACAGTTTGATACCAGTTATCATCATCATCGTCGACAGTTGCAGCTTTTGTACCGCCCCAAATGGTTAATGCATACAGATGTACATACATTTGTTCATATACATATGTACATGTGTGTGGCTTTGGCTATAGCTTCGTACAAACACCCAAACATGTATCAACCAAAATCATATCTTATCAGGCATGTAATCGAACACTCTTTATCGATTTCCATGTAACAAAATGAATGTTCTTCAGTGATTGGGGTAAGGGAGTAATTGAGGTTATGTTATGCACTCATTTTTAAACGGAAACCAATCGAGGTTACATACCATTAGTACATACCTTATGTGGTGAGGGTTAACTTCTTGAATACATCTGTGGGTGCACTCGGTACGGTACTCAGAAGTTTCTTTCAGAAGTGATTTATACTCATCCAGGGCAAATTTAGTTGATATTTTGTACGCCTAGTTAAGTAAATTCTTAGTTTTTACCTTTCACTCATGCCTTGTTTATGTTTATTTTATTTCCAGGTAAATGTACCATCATTTTCCTGGAGTCCTGTTTCCCGGAATTTCGCATAAACGAAGGTTTAAGGCCTAATCAAGGCCCCTCATTATTCATTGATTGAATTTTTCTTCTCTTCTCCAATGGCATCGCTTGTGTAATCTGCGAGTCGAGCAAACTTGATCCTTTCTTGTATTTTCCAAGCAATTTTCCATTTAATCTGCACTCAACAGCAGCTGCAGCATCATCATCATCATCAGTAGGAGACAGTGGCAGTGGCAGTGACAGTGGCAGCAAAAGCTGCTTCTATTGAGGCACGAACTCATTGAAACCGACGCGTCATAAACTGGTGAAGGCTTAAAAGCTCTTTATTCAATGGTTTTCCAGTGAAAAAAAATACATACATACATACGAGTAGAAAACAAAAGCCAGGACTCGATAGAAAGGAAAAAGAGAAAAGGTGGCTGGCAAAGATAAAGAGAAGGCAAAATAATAGGAGCTATTGCTGTTCAATAAGCTGCTGCACATTGATTGAAATCGAAGACGAAGCCCCGATAAACGGAGTGGAGCAGAATGACATAACTTGTGTTGAATGATGATGAATAACGATGCTAATAGAGATGATACATACATAAATGAGCGTAGAACGGGTCCACCATGGGCTGCATTTGTAATTACAGCAGAGAAATGCACTTCCAGGGACTCCTGAGGATGGGAATTCATACTTGGGACAGACGCTAAGTTAGTTACGCAGTTACGCAAAGAATAACAACAGCGGCTGCAAATTGAATAAAAGATGAAGTTTGTTCAGGCAACAGGCAAGGCAGCTGCATTCCGGGAAAAACCTTCACTCACTTTTTCGCTTTCTTGGAGCCAGATGTCTGCGTGCCTTGATAAAACTTTAATTAAGTTGAGGAGCGCGTATCCATGGCCTCTAAGGAGCTCACTTCTAAGCCACTCTGCTGCGGCTTTTGTTAGTTGACTCCTTGAGATTTTGCTTACCCAAAAAACTGCAGCACAAAAGTCTGCGTTTATTACATGGTTTAACCATTATTATGGACAGAGGCGACTGAAAAGACTGCAGCTTTAGTCTGGAAAGCGAACATCTTGCTACGTTTTGTCTGCACAGAGTTGACTTCACACTCATTTTGTATGCAGAACAAACAGAGTCTTTATCCCCGACGGAGGCCTTGAAGCATCATCTTCTGGCAGCCAGGAACAATAAGAAATGATTTATTTTATTGTCGTTATATCTAGACAAGACATCTACATATCCTATACTCTATGACATTTTGCGGCAAACTATTCTCTAAAAAAAAGGGAAAAGAAATCTCACTCTCGTTTCTGCATAATACATTTTTTTTGTTTCCTTAGATGATTATCGGTTTGGTGTAGACAGCTTCATGGCACACTGGGACATACTGGTGCACTGTATCTGGTATCCTCCTGTAATTTGAGCACTTCATTGTCAGGACAATGGAAGGGCAGGACATCAGTAGTATTGTACTCCGTAGTGACTGCTTTTTGCGCATCGTTTTTTGCCTGAAATTTCACAAGCAAAAACTCCAAGAAAAGGAACCTTTTGTTTGGACATCTTTACAACCTCTCAGAATGGGGGAAGAGAATAAGTATGTACTTTCCTGGGATTGGGATTGGGATTGGGATTGGGAGGTGGGCTTCCAACCAGAACCCATAAATTAACAGCCGAACCGCAATACTTCAATGACAAAACAAAGAAAACAGACAGGCAGATAGACGGACAAACAAGCACTCAGAAGTGTCAGTGTAAAGGTGGCAGCTTGTGGAACGTGTAATGGCAAGCAAATGGAGTTATCCTGGTGGGTTTTTAGGGGGCAGGACGAGTAGGACATGCATAAATCCTCGCCCATGGCCATTAGGTGTTTTGATGGCTGCTCGTAATTAGCATAATTGAAATGTAGCCACAGAAGTGGAGTGCTAGGTGGGGTGCAAAGGGCAG